TGTTCGATTCCTTTTTTTTTTTTTATTTGTTTGGGCATGCGTGCCCTCGTAGTTTCCAATTGTAGTTATTTTTCTTTTTCTATATAAAAAATTAAAAGAAAACTTAGTCGCGAAGTTTGGGATGATATGAGTGCAATTTACTTTATTAGAGAGGAGTTAATAAGAAATGACCCCATCCATTCCCAATCATTAATGTGAGTCGCTCTTGTTCACAATTGACCAGGGAATAAATTTGACCAATTGTTACTGTAGCTCACTATTTTTGGGTGATGAGGGTTCCAGTTATGCATGTTGTCAAGTAATTTCATTGGGGAAATGTCTCAATCTGGTAGGTTCATTTACTACTTTTTATTTTAAGGTGCCATAATTAACGTCATTCAATTGCTTGTTACATATTCTTTCTCCTTCTTATAACAGTGGACCAGACACAGCTAGATATATATATATGTATATATGCACACATAAACAATAAAAGAAAGAACCTGAACTTTTGTTCTAGGCGTCGAGAAAGAAAACCCATGTTTTAGTTTGATTAACTGCAAACCCCACACTGATCCAATGCTAATTACTTTGGTTAAATACTCAAGCTGCATAGATGTTAAGAGAAAAGATATATAATTACTAATTAAACAGTAGATAGTCACAACAAGGAAGCTGATTTAAACACAGGGGAAATCAAATCAGCCACTGTCAAACTAGAAACCTAAACACCAAGTAGATGACATAACAACTAGAGCAACACCCACTGAAACCAACAGCAGACAAACTCCCAAAAGGCGTGCACGAGCCAGCCAAACCAAAGCACCAATTTATTCTTATGCTACTAGTTCAAGCTGCTGGCTTCCACAGAAACCTCTCACTTGATGCTGCAACACACAGAACTTGGTTAAGAACGTAATAATGTACCTAATCATAATGAAAATATAATCTAATATCATGAAAATGATTGGATTTTTTTCATACCTTTTGCAGTCAGTAGAAGGAGAGATCTTGTAAGGAATATTAACCCCACACTTGCCAGGAAGGCCAGCGGCAAGGCCAGCATTTGCATTGGTGTAAGGGATGCCATTGACGGCTTGCTTCAAGCAGTTGCAGATGCTCTGGCGGTCAGCTGTGGTCTGAGCCAAGCTGTAGAGAGACCTGACCCCAGTGCAGCAACTAGGGTTCAAAGCCCCACCGTTTGCCACGTAGTTTATGCATGGGGTCAGATTGTTCACCACCTGGCCGCATGACACAACTGCCATGGCCTTGGGAGCACCAACCACCATGCAGCACATCACCGCCACAAGGCAAACGAGCTTGAGGAGCTGTCCAGAGCTAGCCATAACGACGTCGTAAGTAAAGCTGATATATTATCTCTTTTGAAACTAACTATTTGCTTGGAGACAGATACTGGTGGCTATGAGAGGGCTGAAGGTATGCTGTTTATATAGACAATGGAAGAGCTAGCATGGGAGCCTGTGATCTTGGGGCTTTGTTTGTGCCACTTGGTAGTTGGGAGGAATTGAAAACTTCAGCGGAGTTTTGTTGAGGATGTTAAATGCTAGCACTTGGTTCGAGAAACCAGATATTCATGTCTTGAAATTAAATTTGCTGCTCTGGTTTTTGTCTGCGAGTAATGTTAGGCTTACCACATTTTTCATACCACATCTCTAATAGAGGTGGAGCTTAATACAATGGGGCCCACCTCTATTAGAGAGGTGGTATGAATGTGATATGAAAAATGTGGTAAGCCTAGTATTTTCCTTTTGTCTGCTTTGTACAAGCTATATAATAATTCAATTCATTTACACACCATATTTTAGTTTGGGAATGCGTGTGAGATTTTTCTCTTGGCCAAATGCAAGCAAGCCCTCATCAAAGGTCGGCCGGATCATAAATGTCTAAACTACATGAGGACTCCTTTTGATTTTTTACTTTCTCAGAGTTATTACTTGAATAAAGAATTTAATATTTTTCTATTTAATACTTGTATTATACACTTATATATGTATTTTTTTTTTAATAATACTTTTGTTTTCCATACATATATGTTAAGCAAACGTACAATGTGTACATATTTTTCATGTTCATTTGTTTTTTACAAAATTTTCAATAATACAAGCAAAATTCACGTAT